GAGATGCCCATTGTCTGCATTTTTCCCAGGTGTGAATTATGCTTTGCACCCTTCGTGGGAAACTTGGCATTCAAAGCCATTTTTCCTAATTGGCCACTTGAGACCAGGAAGAAGCCTATGTGACCCAAGGGGTATAAAGAGGGGTTTAGTAGCCCACCCCCTTTGAGCTCCAATCACCTACACCTGCTGGCAGGTATTGATTGTCTCCTGAGGTCCGTGGGACGCCCAACCTTGCCCTACTTCTTCCCGAGGGATTGAGAGAAAGACGCTGGCCGTGCCAAGTCTGGAACGCAGGGGTGAGAATTGTACCTGCAATGTGTTTTCTTTATGTGTACACTTTAATTGTCACTCTGTTGTAAGTTTAGTTACTTTATTATAGTTTTCTTAAGTCAAGCTGCTTCATTTCTATTGTAAACTGCCTTTGGTAAGGTGATTTAGCTATAAACTTTGGGAATAAGTGGGGTGCTCTCATTCACTTATAAACATATATATACTGAACCAAGTTCTTTATTTCTTTTCTCTTTCTTTCTCCTATAAATAAGCCAGTGCGTGTCAAGCTTCTGACTTGAACCCGTGCTGCTGTACCCGAACTGAACACAAACAAAAGAACTTCAGCTGGTCAGAAGGAACAGGTATAGGAAGAGCTTGGGCGTTTTGGATCGTGTCGCTTCCAGGGGACAGATCCGTTGGGGCACCTCTCAGCCTCCCCAGGCTGCCTGCTGCGAAGGGATTTCTGTATCCTAGCAGCTAAAATCTGAGGTGTAATAAGCTCTTCCTATAAACTCAGGGCATCTGAGAGCCTGTTGGCTGCCCTCTGCGATGGGACCCCGGTCCTAGCAGTAAAGTCACAGATGTTAAACTATTTTTTGGGGCGCCCTCCAGCCTCCTAGGCTGCCCACTGCAATGAGACTTTGTATCTCAGCAGTTGAAGACTTGGGTGTAACACACATGCACACACTGCCCTGACCATTTCGGCTGACAGTCCATGCATGCAAAATAAGATGTGTTGATAGCAATTATAACTGATGCCCTCCTTCAATTTTTACATGAGACTGAACCATTGCATTTTTTCCAAAAGGTTTTGCCGTGACATGGACTTACTCTGCAAGCTAATGGCGATCTTCCAACCCCCAAAAGTAGTGTTTTTAAACACCAGCACAGATCTGTAGTGCGGAAGAATGGCCTTGACAGTTCAGAGAGTTTGTGGCAGTGGTAGACTTTCTGGCATGTGTACCAACATGTATGAAGGTTACTATCTCTTGTTTATGCCAGACAGTGTGGTACTCTCCTGAGCTATGTTAAAATTACAGCCAATACCAACACATTCTCATGATTATGATCTTCTATAAGAAACAACTTCACAGGTATGAGAGAGTCTTCTGTCTCTGGAACTACTGTAATTAAGAGCAACCAGGGTTTGATGGTTCAGCATGGTACATATGACCAGAGGACTTCCTTCTGCAGTATGTCATCCCAAAGTATAGATCTTGGATGGTACAGTGACATCCCAAACAACACCATCTGATTACTACCAGTACTGTCCAGCATGGAAAGCTAATGTGCAGATTAAACAAGTCTCAGCTCCTGTATGCTTAAGAAGACTGGAGCATGTAGGGAATTTGTATAAAGACTGACATCCTACATCTTCTGACAGATGAGGGGTAAACAAGAAAGCAATAATAATACTGACCTGAGTAAACTGGGGGTATTAAACATGTGTGGTAATTTAAAACTGTGGGCAGCTATGCTGTGTACAGCAAACCTTTGGAGAGAAAGCAACATTTAGGGAACTGTGCAACCTGGCAAGTGAGGGAGCAAGATGCAGGTCTCCACCAAAGAGCAGGGATGGCCGAGGAGCTGAGTCTAAAAGTGGGTGTCCCTGCTGGACCACAGGGAAATAAGATGCAGTTTTCAAATGATGCCAACCTCCACAATTGCTTTGCAAGAGCAAATCTATTTCAGAGCACAGTTATCTCAGTGGGATGAAAGGGAAGGGGGAGTTTCATGTAGTGAGGAAGCTCCCAAGGTAAGACAGTCTTTAATGTTTCCTGTTAAGTGTGGCAGTGGTCACTGCCAAAGCAGTAGTAGATAAAATCCCTGGTGCAGATGCAGCCATTAGCTCTCAGGAGGAGATACAGACCCCTATTTGCTTTATCACAGGGTACACAACACGTGGCCCATAGGCCGTATGCAGCCCTTGGCCTGTTTATTGGCAGCTCTCAGTGCGGTTTGGGTTTACTCAGGGCTCAACATGTGGACCTCAGGTGGGATCCTTTGAACATGGCCTCCACTGGGAACACATTCCACAACAGTGAGTCAATATAATGGTCTTCTGTTGATACACATTTTAGTAGTTAAATTCTTGGACTGTCAAAAGTGCTGTCATATGGGTGGAAATTGGGTAAATATTGTATTTTATTCATATCAGCGGAACTAACTTAAATGGGGCCTGCTTGTTGCATAGTCTTGCCTTAATCTTTGTATTCATGCCTGACAGTGTGACAGAAGCTATTTGTATATGTATGCAACCACACTTAAGTTGCAGCCTTCGGCATGTGCTGTGAGTGTCATTGTGGCCTCTGGGTTCTTCCAAAGTTGAGTAGCCCTGCTTTTACCAGTTTACTTTCTAACATTTTTTGTGTTTTGATTTAAAGAGTGTGTTTCTTTTATTTGTTGCAGTGCATGATTAAAAGGGGCAGTGTGGCTGGACTATGTTGCTGTGTGTCACCTGTGAGGAGTTCAATTATTGTTGCATCTTTGCACCTTGTTTTTTACACAACATTATGAATCTGAGGAAAAACTGGGTTCCAAATAGGGTTGCCAACTCTCCCGGACAGTATGGACTGGATGCCATTGCAAATGATGTCTAGTCTGTCTGGTTGGAAGAGCTGGAAACCCTAGTTCCAAATAACTGTTCTAATAACAACATACAAACATAGAGAAATTAGCTACTTCCATACAGTGCTGCTCTGTTAGGATTCCCATGGCTTCTGCAATAGAAAGGATTTTAAAACTATTAAGGGGATATTATAAAATTCCTACACACAATCACTTTATAAAATTCAGCTCTGGAAAGCTTGTGTTTGAAATGTGTTTCTTTTAACATCATGACTACTATTTGTTGGATATGCAAATAAAGTGACATTTGTTTATATATTTCTTGATGTATTTTTTATTACAGAAGCAATTTATTTCCTCTTATTTCCTGAGTGTGTCCTATTTAGTGAATTCCCCCCAACCAGACATACAGGATAATGGCTTCTCCTGCCAAAGGAAGTAAACTTTTGTTATACTTGTAATATCGGGAATCCAGTTAATATACAATCCTTGTTTATCTTCAACTAAAAGTTTTCATGTAGATTGCAGTAACTCCTAATTATTGTTGGCTATATTATTGGTCACTAAACCTACCATGGCTTACAGTTTTGTATAATTACTCTAAATGTGATAAAACTGTGTATTACCAACACAGTGTCCTTATCACCTCATAAACCATTATTTTTGTGGTCGGTAGCTGACAGTAACTAGCAGACACAACACAATGAACTCTTGAGAGAGAGAGAAATGTATTTGGGTCAGAACTGATTGACAGACCTCACAATCAGTTACCATAGAGGCCAAATCATATGCAGCACCTCATTCTGTCCCAGTGGAAATTACAATGTTTTGTAGCGCAAGCAATCCCTTCCATAATAGGTTGTCCTGGGGTAGGAGACAAAACTCCATGAAGGTCTCCCTGTGGAGCTACCTCAGATCATTCCAGGACCAAGGAAAGGTCTTGCCACACTCTACTTTTCCCTTGCTATGGAATAAGCCACCTCTCCATCCCAAAAATCTAGTGGATCTCGGGATGTGCAGGAGGAAAGGACCACACCAGTAAAATGCCTGTATTAAGAGCTCTGCCCCCAAACATGGAATGGTTCTGTAAAAGAAAGCAGTATAGTTTGGAAACTTATTACATTCCCTACTGATCTGTTCCAGGATGGTGGAGAACTATTACCTTTCCTTGGGCAGATTCTGTGGTAGTATGAATTGTGTAATTACTACTGCTATTTGGAGTCCTGTTGATTTCAAGGAAGGACCAGAAGGAACAGACTTACAGGTCTGGCTGTAGACAGCTGGTGGAACTGGAGGTCTTGATTTAAAAAAAAAATTAATGAGATGTTAATTTTATCATTTGTAAATGGTAAAAATCACATTTACAACATTTTCTCACAGGTTTATTAAGCTGAAACTGCATCTCAATTGTTTTGTTGCATTTAAAAAAGGCAGCTGCTTGTTTTAAACTTGTTTTGGCCCCGATCCTACACAGCCTTAAACATGTCAAAGGGGCTATACATGCTTTCCATGATTAGGGCTTTAGATATTATCAATAATCATCACCCTCAATCATCTTAATTACACTAGTGGCAAGGAACCAACCATAATGCTAGGTGCTGAATAAACCCAGAGCAGAAAACAGTTTGTCCCAAATAATTTGCAAACAACATTTTGTTATATTTTATGCCATTAACAGGATTTTTATTTTAGACAGCTAAATTAACCGTTTAATGATTTTAAAAGAGCTCCCTTCTCACTGATGTAGAGGGCAATTCTGTGAATTAAAACAAAGTTAGACCCCGTTCCTTGGTATGTTTGGACAAAGAAATGCAGAGCTAGCACAGAGAATGCCTGATTTCCATTCCACCAGCGCTTGCTGCTTTTCCCTCCACATGCTCCTGCCCTCCTGTCTTTGCTCCGCCGTTGCCCTTTCCTTTTTTTTGCTTGTTTGTGATTAATTTTGTGTTAATTTTCATAAAAGACCCCTTGTACCTTTCATCCCCTTTGATTTTCCATGGCTGGTAACTGATTCCAGTGTGCACTGGACTGAGCCATGGGGCTGGAGGGAGTGTCAGAGCAAGCTGACTGCATTACTCACACAGGCAGCAGAGGGCGCCGTGAGCAGTTCACGTCGCTCTCCCTCAGGGAGGCGACGCTCTATCTAGCAAGGACGCTGTACTTCCGGCCAGGTGCGCGCGATCACTTCCTGCGGCGCGGCGTGGCGAGGCGGCTGGGTGCCGCGAGGGATCAGTCCCCGCCAAGATGCGCATTGAGAAATGTTACTTCTGCTCCGGGCCCATCTATCCGGGCCATGGGCTCATGTTCGTGCGGAACGACTGCAAGGTAGGGACGGGGCCGCGCTCGCGCTGAGGGGACTCAGGGGGGCCGGGCGCAGCGCAGGCCCGAGGGGCGGCGCCTCGTCGCACCGGGTGGATCCAGGACCGGCCTGCGTTGGGGCCTGTAGCTTGGCGGCGCGGCTGGAGAGGTCGGCCCGGCCCGGGGTGTCTACGGACCGACTCTGTTCTGGCGACGGGGTCGGGAGACCCGGTTCCAGCGGGTTAAGGGCGGCGCACTCTGACGCCGGCGGGAGCCTCGCTGCCGGCGGGCCGGGGCCGCGGTGTTGGGCGTGTTTCCCCCATTTCCCGCGGGCCTGACGGGACCTGCCAGGCGCGTAGATATCGGGGGAGCAGCGGGGCCGGGGCTTTACCCTCGGGCTGTCAACTTTTTTCGTTTGCAGACCCCTAAACGTTTCAACTAGCAGCGCGACCCCCTTGGAAATCTGAGACCTAGTCTGTACCTCCCACAGGTTGAAAACCACCGGTTTAGCCATGCCTGGTACTCGCAGGGTCCAGGGCGTTAGTGCTAGGCATGGCTAAACCCTGCTGTCACTGCCTGGGCCACCAGGACTATTGGGGTGTGTCTAGACTACAGGGTTTTGTTGACAAAAGTGGATTTTTGTCGACAAAACTATCCCTGCGTCTGCACTGCCACTGAGTTCTGTCAACATAACTTCGACAGAGCTCAGCAGTTTTGCTGAGGGCTGTAAACCTCATTCTACAAGGAATAACACCTCTGAAAGCGTTATTGCATCTACACTGTCCTTTGCGTCTACACTGTCATGTCGACAAAGCCCCTTTGTCGACAGAACTGGATGTAGTCTAGATGCTCTTGAAGCTTTGTTGACAGTATCTGTCAACAAAACTTCTGTCAACAAAAGCCTATAGTCTAGCTGTACCCTTAGTAATTGTGTTAGTTCTTGCCAAGAATCACATAGCCCTTGCTCCTATTGCAGGTGTCGTCCAAAAGTCATCAAAGCAACATCTTTTCTGCTCAACCAAAACTGAAAGTGTTTGTGGCAAAATGTAAATATCAGAATTTACTCCAGTGTAAAAATCATTCTTAGACTAAATATGCTGATTTAGCAAAGTGTGTGTGTGTGTGTGTGTGTGTATACACACACACATACACACATACTGAACTGGGGCTTTAAAGTTAAAATCCAAGTTCCTTCTTAAAAGTAGTTGTTGAGTATCTTTGTATCTTGCAGAACTTGATGATTTTTATGTGCAGTTAGACTTTAAGACAAGTGCTAGATCTAGGTGACAGATATCGAAAATTCATAGAATAGTGTTAAGGTTTTGTAGTTGCTTTTCTAAGTTGCAATTTAATAATTTTGTCCTGCAGTTTCTTGATTGTTAAATTGTTTAAGGTAATTGCTCTGTAGATGCATGCATGTTCTTGCAGACTGAAGATATTGTGAGAACAGAGTAACATGATTTTTGAAAGTAAAACAAAGCAATAATGATCTAACACTCACAAAAACTATTACAGTAACAATAATACCATCATTGCAGAGTATTATATCTGATATTGTATCATCTACAAATAGTAGATCAAAGTTTAGATAAAAAATGAAGTTTACTTATTTATTTTTCAAAATTATGAAGAGAATACTCTGTGAAGCTTAATAATTATATTTAAGTTGAAATTACCCAAACATCCCAGGGCTGTAACACTGAAAATGCAACACCCCACCTCAGGGGTGTGGGTAGTGGCAGGACAGGCAGGCTTTGTCTAGGCAGGTGGGAAACAATGATAGTGGCTTTTCTTAAGAATCCTCCTCTTGATAGGAGCAAGTGCATGGTGATGACCCAGAAGCATCATCTGAACTGATAGGTGGGCCTATGTTGCCTAGGTAAGCCATGGACATCTGCCCAGCCATGAACCGCCTTGTGCCTCCTTTTATGCTCTGATTGTCAATTCCTACCTCTGGCATTAGCAAAGGACCTTTTTATTTGGCCTGGTGTGGTATTGTGCCACCAGGAAGGAATTTTTCCCTTACTGTGAGATTGGCCAGCCTGGAGTGTTTCGTTTTGTGTGTTTTTTGTTTTTTGTTTTTTTTCTTGTGGTTGCCAGGCAATGTGTTAGCAGCTGCAGGCAAGGTGTGAGCCCTTTAAATAGAAGCAGTTGAAAGGGCTCACACTTCCCTTTCCACTGCTAACACTTGTTTGGAAACTGCCTTTCAACTTCTGCTATTTAAAGGCCCTGTCCCTTCCATCTGAAGCCCCACCCCTTCTGGGATGCCTGCAACACCTTCTCAAACTTTTCGAGTGCCCTGCCCCCCCTTCAAAAATTATTGCTCATTCCTGATTTAGTGGGTCTGGTGAAGACATTCTGAATTGATCTCCTGTTGATTTTGTGTACTCTACTTCCCTGAGAAGTATAAGGGAAGTTTATGGGAGAGATTCTTCTATTCACACAATGCTGTATAGCCAGTGTGGTAACTGAATCTAACAATGTTGAGTTCAGTTACGTTACACGCTTAAGTTGCACAAATTAGATCAATTTACTGTGGTAGTATAGCCCAGCACTAATGCTCATTGACTGTTTGGTGTGATGCAACTTCCATGAAAACTAAAAATTCTCTCCTAAACATCCTTCATAACTTTAGTTGGTTGGTACTTTTCATTTTAAGGAAAAAATAGTGGGAATGGTGGTAATCCTTTAAATTGACAGCGAATAGTGCCAGTAGAGTAAAAACACTAAGCTTAGCATCAGACTTATTTTGAATGGAGTGGGCAAGAACAAACATCCTTTGTTTACAGACATTTGTATTTAATCTTTCTTTAGATGTTTAGATTCTGCAGATCAAAATGCCATAAAAACTTTAAAAAGAAACGAAATCCCAGAAAGGTCAGATGGACCAAAGCCTTCCGAAAAGCAGCTGGTAAAGAACTGACAGTGGTAAGTAATTGGTATTATTCTATGATATTAAATTACTGCTGCTACTAGTGAATTTAAGTCCTGGCCCAGGATAAAAACAAAATATGAACGTAACACATGCAGTACTCCAAGTTCCATAGCCAGGCAAGACATGGTATACTAAGTGGTTCTGTGATTCTAGAACAGGAGTGGCCAACCTAAACCTGTGAGAAGGAGTTAGAATTTACCAATGCACATTGCCAAAGAGCCACAGTTCTATGTCACCAGCCCTGATCTTCTCCCCCCCACCACTTAGCACATCCTGTCCATAGGCAGTCCCTCCTTTTCCTCCTGCCCACTGTGATCAGCTCTTTCTCAGTGGGAGACATTGGAGGGGGGAAGTATGGATATGACAGGCTCAGTGGAGAGGGTAGAAAGCGGCAGGATCCTAGGGGGAAAGGGCCTAGGGCAGAGCTAGGGGTTGAACCCAAGGGGTGAGCACCTTCCAGCTCAGGAAAGAGTTGGCATCTGTAGCTCCAGCCCTGGATTTGATACCTATGCAAGGAGCCGCATGTGGCTCTGGAGCCACAGGTTGGCCACCCCTGCCCTAGAGACAGGGAAAGCAGAATTAGTGGTTTAAAAATTGCAGTAGATCTTTCTACTTTTTTGAAAATCAAGCAGAAATATGCAGCATGCTTTCCTTTGAAAGTTTAAAACTAGCCATTCTTTAAGGTTGGTATTGTGCCAAAATTTTCCCTTTTGATTAGGCTTCTGTACTGTCAATTTAAATGTGTTGTGCCCTGTTTTTGCTCGCTAGCATTAAGTTACCATGGAAGTACATTCTTTGTATTTTTCTTGGCACTTTTAATCATTTAGAAGTCCAAAAGGGTTGTCTTACATGTGAAAAAAATGTAGTAGTAGCTGTAGCTTTAAATTTTATGGCCATTAACATTCAGTATCTGTGTTTAAGAATCGATAATCTTATCAGAGCATTGTTACAGTGAAGATAATGATGTCATAAAATTGAAGATAATGATGTCCTGAGGTGGCAAAGAACTGCTCATTTTGCTTGAATTACTTTTAATCCTTGTAATGTATGCTACATTCAATTTTGAGATGTTTTCTCAATTTATCAAATAAATTGCAGGGATGTGAAGGTTTAACCAGTAAGCCTCACCTTTTAACAGGTGAGGTTCACTGATTCAGACTAACCAGTGTAGCTGGAGCACTCCCCCATCCAACGTTGGATGTTGGACCAGCACCTACCTGTGAGGTGCCCTCTTGGCCGGTGCAGCGTCTGCCTGCAGCAGGCCGGGGACGGGGTGGGGGGAAGAAGGCAGGGACTGCTCTGGCCAGGCTGGAGCAATCCCTTGCCTGCAGCAGGTGGGGAGTTGCTCCAGCCTCACCGGTTAACTGTAACCAGTAAGCCTCACAATTGACATGGGATTTTACATTCCTTATCCAGATATCTCGCAACAGGTGGAGGGCAAGGGGTGCTCGGGTCGTGGTCCTGCCGCTGGGGGAGGAGGGCTGCTTGGGCTGGCTGGGGTCCCGCCATGTCCTAGGCCAGGTGGAGGAGAGAGGACTGCTCTGGCCGGCCCTTTGGTTTACTGGTTACTGAGTAAGCCTGTTGGTAATGCTAATGCTTACTGTGTAACCAGCTAACCTTTTACATCCCTAATGCAGAGACACAGGCATGCAGGGATTACTTTGTGAGGGTGAAAGGGGTCTGCTGGAAAGTAACCGCTAAGAAAAAGGTCATGATTATGATGAGTAGGACATAGTGTTATGCTTAAACAAAGCACATGAGATCTTTTATAGGGAAAAAGGCAATACACCACATTTATTGAGAATACAACAGCATATGCTTTTCAGTCACTCACACACACAGACCTCATACACACACACAGTCCCGCCAGACGATGTTATGGTTACCAGTCCAGAGTCTGGATCAATCTAGTGGCCAGTCTGATCAATCACAGAGGGGGAACTGGGCTCTGTTGGTCTCGTGATCTGATGCTCCTGGAGTTTAGTGGCAAGACGAACCCAAGGTTCCATAGCAAAGCACCCTGCTTTTGTAATCCTTTTCTCTGCTGAAGTGTATGGATTTCGCTGTGTCAGTCTGTGTTATCTTATTGTTATCAGTTATTCCCAAAAATCTCGAAAGGCTCATCCTGTAATCAATCTTTTTTTTACGGGTGCCAGTTCCACTTTCGGGCCGTCAGTCTGCCAGTCTGATCATTCTTTGACCATGGGCATGCACTGATGGTCCCTCTGACGCTGATAAGTCTGTTTTCACCACGCTTCGTCCCTCCTTTATGGCCATCTGGCTCCAAGGATAACCTGCGCACCTTTATCTCAACACATACATACCACTTTCACACACACAGAGTCCTCTACAAGGACTTTCAAAGAAAACCATAATACAACAGTATCCCATATTGGGCAAAGCAAAAAGGTCTTGTAAATCAAACAATTAAGACTTCAGCCTTCAACATTCCTCCAATCTCAGTAACATAGACACAATACCAAAACTCTGTCTCTTTACTTACTAAACTCACTAAGCTTTAAAACAAAGGAATATATATCTTACTAAAGGGTTTAGTTTAATAAAATATTAAATGTGATAATGTGTTACCTTACATTACTACATTATTAATCCTAAAATATAAATATAAAAACAATAAAACTTTCAATCCCAACAATAGTAGAGTCAGGTGTACCAAGTCAGACAGTCTGAGTTGGCTGTTCTTCCCTCCTCTTGCAGCCAGGATCACTTTTAAGCATAGCAGATGATGTCTGCATAGTTCAACTCCTAGAAGGAATCCTTTGCTCATCTGAAGACAGAGGTAGTTGATTCAAGATGCTGTATCTCCAAAATGGGGATGTTCTATTGCAGTGGAGTAGTCAGTGGTGGTGTTTTTAATTAGATGAAGGGAGCAGAATGGATAAGAGCATAGAGATCCACCTGTCAGTGGTTCTCTAGCTCTCTGCCAGCAACTCTGTGGTGATTAACATAATAGTGTTAGTGCCCACCTAGAACCTACTGCAACATGTTCTCATTGTTAACGCATCTCGGAGGCCACTTGGTCACTTTCCTGCTTCCTGTGAAGTTGGTGTTTCTTTCAGTTCTATCCTTTCTCCCCACCCATCTTCTCTTATGTTAACAGAATACATAATTCTACCACTTAGCATTACTGCCTACTGCTGATGCTATGCGTGTGAGTGTGTATTCATGTACACTGTTAACCAGTGAGCCTGGGCTCATCGGTTAATCCTAACA